TGTACAATAAAATGTTTATTATTGAATTATAACTTTTTGACATCTCTAGCGTGGCTGTATGCTCCTTTTTACTTAACCTTCTTAACATTGAGCCACTTTCTAATATTGAAAATAAAAAAATTATTTTAGGATTTATAAAAAACATCGAAAATAGTCTTAAGGGGGTAGATACGTGTAACGAGTGTAAAAACAGGTCAATTTTCAGGATTTTTTTTCTAAAAAAATATGAATTGTACACGAAATCTGTTTTGACAGTCATTTTTATTAATGTTTAAGGTATTTTAACAAATTTTTTCGTTTCTTAATATGCGAAATTGCCACCGTCGCGCTAGTGTAGGCGCTTTCCTGCTTTCTTCATAGGTCCAAACGGTGAACATGAAATCTTGACGTGGAGTGCTCTGAAACAAAAATAAAAAATACGATCATCATCTACAATGTATTGGCTCTCGGCTAACCGAGGCGTTTTTTTTTTTTAATTTTTTCGCCGAGAAAAGATTCTTGAAGTTCTCTTTGCGTTTTTGTTGCCGAAATTTTATGCTATTATTGTTCATAACAATTGAAGAAAAAAAGATATCGAAAAACGCCTCGGTTAGCCGAGAAACACTATTCCAGAGAATATGTGGTTAAATTTTCAAGTCGATTCATCGATTAGAACTCGAGAAATCACGTTCACCGTTCATAAAAACCTAGTTTCGAGAAAAACGCGTTTTAAGTTTTGGAATCAATTTTTTCAATGAAAAAAATTTTTTTTGGCTTCTTACCAGTCATCGCCTATTCCTGCTGCATACAGTACACCTTCCGTCTCAAGAAAAGTCTCCTCAAGTGCCGATCGTGCTGTTCTTTTCTCAATTCGGCCTTCTTTTGATGCGTCGAAACATCGCTGGTTGCAATTTGAAATTCGCAGCTTGTCTACGGCATCGCACATGTCGACGGCATTTTGGCCAATTGTGATGTTCATCACGTGCATAATTTGGAGAATACTTTTGTACCCTTCGTTGAAAATAATTGCAGCAAGATATGCTGCAATTTCAACCGTTTTGGGGCCGCTGAAAGTTCGCTTTGGAGCAAACGACCAGATCAACGCATTGAGGCTCTCGTTGGTGTTTTGCGTATATCCTCCTAGACAACGTGTCAATAAATTGTCGTTGCTAAGTTCTTCGTATATAGGAGTTATAGCATTGAGTACGTCTTCGGAGAGAGCCGGTTTGTGTTGATAATTGGAAATCTCAATGAAAAAGAAATCGGCGGGCTTTATAACCTTTTGTGTGTGTGTGTGTGTGTGTGTGTACCTTATTCTAGAGGGTTCAAAGGATTTTTTAAGCCAATAAAAACGACATCGATTTTTTTTAAATTTTACACGTATCTACCCCCTTAAATTACACGTAGATAAATGATTAGATGTTAGGAACCGAATCATACCAATTATTAATAATCTTTCATTGAGTCTTAGTGGATGATTCTTTGAAGAATAAGCTTGCAGATATGTCGAAGACAACCAAATCATTTTTGAGGAACAACCATGATATTATGATTACTAGAGCCGATAAGGGTAATGTGACAGTGGTAGTGAGAAAGGAAGACTATAGACAAAAAATGCTTACATTACTAAGATGAAAATACATATGAGATAGTTAAAAAAAGATCTTACTAACATTCTTTCTAGAAAAGTGAAAGAGTTACTCATCAGATGGAAGAAAAAAAGAGTTCATTTCGCAACAGATTTACAATAAATTGTGCAACAGTGACGGGGTATTACCTGGCGCTTACGGGCTTTCAAAGATCCATAAACCGGGGTTGCCTCTAAGAATTATCATCTCTGCTATCAATAGTACGTTATACTCTTTAGCAGTATTTCTATATAAAATATTGGATAAATGCTCAATTTTTGATAAAAAACGGCAGAAACTTATTTATACTCCTAATTTATAAAATTAGTGTTGACTCATTCAGTTATATAAAAAATAGTTTTCATTTACTTGAAATTTTGAGTAAAAAACCATTAGATGATAATCTATTTTAATTTCACTTGACATGGTTTCCCTTTTTACAAACATATCGACTTGGCTCTTGACAACATCTCTAACAGGTGGCCCGTAATTTTAAAAATATGCAATATTTCAAAAGACGAATTTTTTATCTCCCTACAATTAGTTTTTAATTCTTTTTTTCTTTTGACAATATTATCTACAGACAAAAATTTGAAATGCTGATCTCTATCATCGGTAATCGAGGATTTAGTATTACAAGATCTGAAGAAAAAGGCATTGAATACTTTAGCTTTCCATATCCCCTTTTATGTTCGCTATGTAGATGACATTGCAATGGGAGCTCCAGCAAAAAAAAATTACAGAAATATTACAAGTTTTCAATTCGTTTCATCTTTGATTACAGTTTACGATTGAAATTGATGGGGATAGATTAAATTATTTAGATATTACTATTATCAAGAATAATATTCTTGAATATAATTAATATCAAGCCTACTTTCTCCGGTAGATATCTGAATTTATTTTCTCAGCATCCTCTTTCGCAAAAGAGAGGTACAATCATAGGAATAGTTGATAGGACCTTTTTGTTATCTCAATCTAAAATATCATAAAAAGAACTTGACCTTTGTCATTGAGACACTTTTAAATAATGACTATCTGATTGATTGTATTTTTAACACAATTAATGAGCACCTAAAATCTTTATTGAATAACAAAACCTTAAAACAAAACACGAATGATACTTCCGATGAAGATATTGTTAAGAAGTCATGGTTTACGATTCCATTTGTTTCGGAGATCTCATACAACTTCAAGGACATAATTAAAGATCTTAATGTTGACTTTTGTATTTTTTTAGACTAAACGAGCTCATTTTTTTTATTAAAACGCATAAAGATCATTTACTTAATAAAGTAAAAAAGAACGTAATTTACAAGATATATTGCAAGGATTGCAATGCTTCTTATGTCGGGCAGACAGGGAGGACTTCAAAAACGAAAATCTCGGAACATTGTAAAGGAATACCTACGAGTAATCATTCTGTTATTACCGAACACAGATTGGATCTAAACATGATTGGGAAGGCACAGAAATTGTTGATCAGGAGCGGTTTTTATACAAACATATCTCAGAAATGCTACATATTCAGTTGCAAAAAAAAAACAGTCTTAATTTGCAATCTGACACCGAATTTTTACATCACTCGATTCTCAATAATTTACACTGATTTAAAGGACGCGCCATTTATGTTTTTATTATTTTTAAATAACAGTCTGACATATGTTGGTAATACCGTCTGTTTTATTTATTAGTTTGTACACTGTATTATCTTTAACTCATTTGAATATTGACCGTCACAATATTCAGAACGGTTGTAGTGAATTTATATTAAATATGAATAATTTGCGGATCCTTTGTCTTTCGACCTTGATTGATTTTTGATGTTCACGTGTTTCACGTGTTTCATGGCTATATGGGTGAGTGTATTAATTTTTTTTAATAAAAAAAATAATTAGTAATATTTTTTATATCTGCATAGATTTTTATCTGTTAATCGTTGCCACCCTACCGTATCGCCATGAAGAAGTGAGAACATGACGTTCAAACTGATGATGGCTCGAAAGCAGGCCGAAACGTTTATGCGTAACCAATTATATATCCGTAAGCAATTATGTTATAGTTTTTCGACAATAAATGATTTTTCTTTTCGCACAACTACGCAAAAAACTCTCATTGGCCCTTTTTGTTTATATTATTCAATTAATCAATGATGTATTAAAGGAGCTATTACATATTTTTCAAAATTAGAATTAGAAATTAGTAACTTTAAACACTTTGTACTTCTTTAGCTGAAATAGTAATAAGTTCAGAAGCAAAAAAATTATCGATTATAAATATATAATATTTAGATTTTAAGAATCACAAAATTCTAAAAAAAGAGACTAAGTATTAATAATTCTCCTATCAGAAAGATATACATTTTCATACATCATATTGTAACAGTTGCAACAAGAATCGTAATTTCATTAAAAATTTTTGTAATACATTATCTTTTATTTTAAAAATACTTGGGTGTGTGTGTGTGTGTGTGTGTGTGTGTGTGTGTGTGTGTGTGTGTGTGTGTGTGTGTGTGTGTGTGTGTGTGTGTGTGTGTGTG